AATTCAAGGAGTTCATCATCACCAAGCCCTTATTATATGAAATGTTAAAAGGACTTACCTAAGAAAAAGAAGATAAAAAAGATGAACAGTGAAAGGACAGCAAACTCACAGTTATTAACAACCACACCTAAAACAAAAGCAAACTAAGAGGACAGCTAGATCAGGAGAGGAACCACAGAAATGAAGATCACATGGAGGGTTAGCAACAGGGGAGTGGGAGGAGGAGAAGGGGGGAGAAGGTACAGAGAATAAGTAGCATAGACGGTAGGTAGAAAATAGATAAGGGGGAGGGCAAGAATAGTATGGGAAATATAGAATCTAAAGAACTTGAGACACATGGTCATAAACTAAAGGGGGGAATAGTGGGGGAGGGGGTGTGCAGGGTAGAGGGGAATGAAAGGGGGAATAGAACAACTGTAATGGCATAATTAATAAAATATATTTAAAATTTAAAAAAAAGAAAAAAAAATAAAGTTCTCCGGGTCAGTGGGAAAGCAAATGAGACAGTTTGTGTCTTCAGAGCCTCCAGCATTCTGTGGCACCAGCTCCTGGTGCATGGCATGGCAGAGGCTGGCCCCCCTGTGTTTTCTTGGGTCAGAAGCTCTTGGGAGCTGTGTTTGTCTGTCGAGTGAAAGGTAAGGGAGGGGGCTGGAGGGCAAAGAGGCTCTGGGTTTGAGACGTGGCTGTTGAGCCTCTGCTTGTTAACAGGTTAGCCTTGGGAAAGCCACGCTGAGCCTCAGCTTCCCCACATGTAGAATGAGAATCACCCGTGGAACAAAAGCCTCTTCACTGGGTTGTTGTAGAGTAGTATAAAGTGGCCAAGAAAAAGGTGAGTTTTAGGGGTACGCATCCTGGATACTCTGCCATGGTACTTGTGTAAATGTGGTCAAATTACTCAACTTCTCTATGCCTCATTTTCTCTATCTCTAAGATGGGGTGAGGATAATAGTATGGACCTCATAGAAAACTTTGTGAGGATTACATGAGTGTATACCATGTGGATATATATCCATATCCACTACCTTCTGGCCTCCATGATTTTGGGGGAAAAATTAGCTATTTTTCTTACTAAGATTCCTTGTATGTGATGAGTCACTTCTTGCCCTCACGAGGGTCTGTCTTCCTCTTTTGACTCGTCTGTCTTTTGATTATGATGTGTCTGGGTCTTGATTTATCCTCCTTGGAATTCATTAAGCTTCATGGGTTTCTGGATTATGTTTTCCATCAAGTTTGGAAAAATTTCAGCCATTAGGGATTTTTCATATATCCTTCCTTCGCCTTTCTCTCTCTCTCCCCCTCCTCCTCTCCCTCCGCCTGGGAGTACCACTGTGCTTATGTTGGTACGTTTCATGCCGTCCCACAGGTGTCTCGGGCTCTGTTCATTTTTCTGTCTGTTTCTCAGGCTAGCTAATCTCAGATGACCTGTGTTTAGGTTCATGGATTTGTTCTTTTGCTTGCTCAGGTCTACTGTGGAGCCGCTCTGGAAAATATTTTTCATCTTGGTTATTGTGCTTCTGAACTCCATAATCTCTCTTAGGTCCTTTTAAAATAATTTCTATCTCATTATTGATATTCTTGATGTCATGAGACATCATTCTTATCTTTAGTTCTTTAGACATGATATCTTTCAGTTCTTTGAATATATCTAAAAAAGGTGACTTAAAGTCTTCATCTAGTAAGTCCAATATGTGGGCTTCCTTAAGGGTCTATTATTAATTTCTTTCCCTCACTTATGTATGGACCATGTATTTTTAGTTCTTTGCTAAAAAATGTTTTAGTTCTTTGATATAAAATGTTTAGTTCTTTGATAAAAGGATATTTAGTTTTTTGATTAAAAAATGTTCTATCATTTAAAAAATCCTAAAATGTAAATTTAAAACTGGGAAATTTAAACAACATAATGTAGCCATGCTAGAAATCAGATTCCCACTCTTACCCAAGGCTTGTTCCTGTTGCTCCTTGTTATTGTTTGTCTAGTGACTTTCTGAATTAGTCTTGTAACGTCTATATTCTTTGTCATGTGTGGCCACTGAAATCTCTGCTGGGTTCATGTGGTGGTCAGCTCAGAGATTCCCTAAACTTCTGGGAACTCGTGCACCTCCAGCCTGTGCCGAGGGGCCCGTGCTAAGCGGAGGGTGCAGCACCCGGCTGAGCGGCACACACTTCTGCTCCAGCCTTCATTTCCTGCCTGCACGCAGCCTCCAGGTAAACCAGAGGGGAGGGCTTTTGGCTTTCTCAGGTCTTTCCTGTGCCTGCATATCACACTCTGCATGCACACCGTTTTCTAAGTCCTGAGGAATGTGCTGGAACTTTCCAGAGCCACCTGTGGACATCTCATTCTCCAGCTTTGCAGTGAGCCTGTTGTTTGCCCTGTTATCTACTGCTTCGGGCAGTTATGGGATTGAACAAGTGTTTCTAATTGTTTCTGGTGAGTGGCCCCTGGGAAAACTACTGCTTCCACTGGATGAGCTCAGAGTCAGATGACATGAAGACAGCCTTGCAAGTGGGGACATCCAGGGGACTACCACAGATCAGATAGTGACAGTTCTCTGGGAATGGGGCTTTGAGAGAGATCCAGCCTGCTCCGTTCCCTCTGGCGGCTGCCAGGCTGCTGGGCTTCACGGTGAGTGCCAGCTGGGCGTGTCAAGGCTCTAATGGACTTGGGGGAAACGAGACCAGAGCAAGTGAAAGCACCGCAAACCTCATTGCTCCTACTGAGAGTCACCCATTTTTCTTGAAGAAGCACTTTCTGGGTTGTTGTGAGACTGGTTAATTTCCAGAGTCGTGAAAAAGTGTATTCTGGTCGTTTTTGCCAATGTTTGCACTGTTTTTTGTGAAAAAGAGGATTTTTGGAGGTTCTTACAATGTCATTTTTTTTTCTGATGCCATCCAAAGGTAATATATGTTAAGCACTTAAAACAATGTTTGGCAACACTGACTCATGTGGCTCAATTGGTCGGCCTTGTCCCACAAAGCAAAAGGTCGCAGGTTTGATTCCTGGTCAGGGCACACACCTGGGTTGCAGGTTTGGTCCCCTGTTGGGGTACAAATAAGAGGTAGCCAATCGATGTTTCTCTCTCACATTGATGTTTCTCTTTATCTCTTCCTACCTCCCTTCTCCTCTCTCTAAAAATAAAGTCTTTAAAAAGGAACTTGGCAGGTAGTTCTCTATTTGTCTTTGCTGTGCTTATTATTAATAATAAGAACTTAATAATAATAAGTTTGTTATTAATAATTAATAAGAGGCCATGTATGAACTCTATTCATCCCTCCAGGAAAAATGCAATCCTCTAGAGGCACGGGCGGGAAAGCAAGAGACATTCACATGCAGAGAAAAGGGAGGGAAGAAGGCGGGATCATGTGTCAGAAGCTTGTTTGGGGTAAGGCTGTGCTCGCGACTATGATTCACTCTCAGGTAGACTGTCCAGGTTCAAGGCCAGGCCATGCCTGCTGGTCCCTAGTGGCTGGTTCGGTTGCCTGCCGCCAGTCTGTCTCTTCCTTGTATAGACTCAGCTCACCTCCCCGCTCATCTGCTCTGCAGACTCACCAGACTTTAAAAGGCACATGTCTCCAAGGACAGGTGGACCGGGACATAACAGGGGGCGTTCCTGGAGAATCTGCCTCGCCCTGCCCTGCCCTGCCCTGCCCAGGGGAGTTGGCTGGATGGTGAATCTGTTTACGGGTGTGCTCAGTGCTGGCTGAGGGGCATGGGCATCGGGCTATGTGATACCCTTCAAGCACATGTTCATGCCATTTAAAGCTCTCAGCCCCGAGACTTGGTGTTTCCAAGACAGCTGGGTATTTACGAATCTTCTGCACAACCAGTGGGAACGAGCAAGGTGGGAGCAAGTAGGAGGGGAAGGAAGAGGAAGGAGGGAAGAGGGAGGAACAGGGTTTGGGCTCTTTTGTCCCACACACACGCTGCAAGATTTTGGGGGACTTGGCATTGACTTCCTTGGAGGGGAGGTTTCGGTGAACACTCAGTCTGAAAACAGGGACTAATTCTGAAAACCAGGTGGGACACCGCACTCACCCTGGTCCCTCCCGCTACCTCGGAGGGACATTTTTCAGCACTGGGAGGGACTTTGTGTTGCTGCACCCACGGTGGGTGTGGGCAATGCACGGTTGGAGCCCGGGCCTCTGATTCTCCAGGCCTCACTCTCCCCCCGAGCAAACGCTGTCTGTGCTGTAAGTGTGGAGGGCCGCACCTTTGCAGAGGAGACTAGCCATCCTAACCCCAGGTAGTCTGTGCAAGGAGCTCGCCTTCAGTGTGTGGTCGGGTCACAGGGCAGGAAATTGGGGAATGCACTTAAATCACGGTGGAAGGAATGCTTCTCAACTCTGAAGGGGTCTGAGCTAGGAGGACGGGCCGGAGGACTGGTGGTTCTCTGAAGAGGCAGGCGGCTCCTCGCCAACCGGGTTCCGCTTGGGAAACAGGTGCTCAGCCCCAGGCGGTGGCTCAAGGCCCGGCACCCAGGAGGGAGCCACGCTTGGTTTCCTACTCCGCTGTTACCATCCTGAAATTCCGAGACAATGGCAAGGAGCCCTGCATTTTCCTCTGCATGGGGCCCTGTGAGTTCTGTAGCTGAGCCTGCGTACACCCTGGAGGCCGGGGAAGGAGTCTGCCGGTCCCATAGGTCCCTTCAGCCTGTGGACATAGGGCCACCAGCCTGTCCTTGTAGGGAGAGACTGGAGCTGGGCACACCCAGAAGAGTGACTGCTGCTGGGCCAGAAGCCCCTCGTCTGGCAGGTCCATGGTGTCCTTCCTGAGCCTCTTGTCCCACATGTCCAGCCCCCTGCTCTGAGTGAAAAGCCCCAAGCCTTGGAAGACAGAAAGAGTGAGAGAGAAATGCCCTTAGTTTACAATTGGCTGTGACCCCAGCATAGCCCCTACGATTCAGGCCCCCTACCCCGGTCACAGAGGGCTCTTCTAAGCCTCTTTTCCAGGGTGGGGATAAGGAAAGGCAGGAAGCAGGGACGGGGCAGAGTGGGTACATTACCCCCGGGCAGGGTGATGGGTCCGCAGCTCTTGTCCTTGCTGTCACTCACAACGATACTCTTGGTGCAAATCCGCCAGAGGCCGAAGTGGGCCGCCTCGCAAGTGGCACTGTGGTGCTCCACGTGGGGGCTCAGCACAGCCCAGTGGTCGGTCACCACGGCCACCGTGGCCAGCACGATGCCCACCAGGATGCAGAAGAGGGTCGCGCGGACCTTCAGCGTTTTGGTCTGGGACATGGTGGTCGCCGAGGAGGAGGTGCTCTGGACAGGGTCTGGTGGCGGTGGCTCCCCAGGCAGGTGGCAGCCGGGCCGAGGTGGTGACAGCGATTGTGGCGCGGACGGTGGAAGCTAAGTTTCGTGAGTTTGGCCAAGCCAGAGTGGGCCGGCCTTGGGGCCGAGGGACACTGGGCAGGGCTGAGCAGCTGCCCACACGTGACAGGGCCTGAGGGAGGCTTCTATTAATGCACAGGCGTGTCAACATGGCCGAGGATGACTTCTTCTCGGGTTGCAGGGCTGTCTTTCCCTCCTGGAGCCAGAAATACCCCAGGGCGGGGCAAGGGGAGAGGGCTGTAGACGGTGACAGGAAACCTGGACCGAGTGGCGGCGGCTGCTCAGGATACCTGGGTGGGGCGTGGGGGAGGGACACTCCGTGTGTGGGCTGGAAGTCACTGCTGGTCAAGGGCAGGAGACCCTGGGGACTCAAGTGGCTCGGCCGTCTGGTCTCGCACTGGGCAGGTCAGCCACCAGGTGGGGGGTGTGGGTCCTTGTCCCAGAAGTCTGGGGAACCCAGGGTCAGGGGCCTAGGGGCCTCTTGGGGCCTCCCTGCCCAGGGCCTCCGGGGCCCACCGCCCAGGCAGGATCTGTAGCCCCAAGCCTGGCGACACCCCCCAAATGACAGGGGCATTTCAGACGGTTCCTAGACCTGCTGTGACCTGACACTGTCCAGTGTGAGAATGTTATTTTCTTTCCCTCTTTTTAAAAAAGATTTTTAGTTTTGGAGAGTGGAAGGGAGGGAGAAGGAGAGGGAGAGAAACATCAATGTGTGGTTGCCTCTCACACTCCCCACTGGGGACCTGACCTGCAGCCCAGGCGTGTGACCTGACTGGGAGTCAAACTGGTGACCCTGCAGTTCACAGGCTGGCACTCAGTCCACTGAGCCACACTAGTCAGAACACCTTTCTCTCTCTCTTTTTTTAAATCCTCACCTGTGGACGTGCTTTGAGAGAGATAGCAAGGGAGGGAGAGAGAAAAACATTGATGTCAGAGAGGAACATTGATTGGTTGGCTCTTGTATGCCCCTGACCAGTGACCAAACCCATAACCTAGGCATGTGCCCTGACCAGGAATCGAACCCGTGACGTTTGGGTTTATGGGACAATGCTCCAACTGAGCCACACCGACCAGGGTGAGAATGTCACTTCTAATTCAGTTCTCCCATCCCTCCAGCTGGGTCCAGAAGAATAGCCCCATTTGGGGGTAAAGTGGCTTTCTGATCCGGTCCAATAAAAAATAGCCCGGAGAGGACAGAGCATCGGCTGGACCTGACCGGAATTCTGTTTTTGTTTTACCTCTGTTAATGGCAGGTAATATTTTCCAGCTATGCACTTATTTACAAAATAACTATAGAAGCCAGGTGCTTGATTTGCAGGTGCTATCAAGAGGCTAACGGGTGTGTGAACTGGCAGAGGACATGGGAAAGTCTGATCTTCCGAGAGGTCTGCCTGCCCGCACGCCCCCCGGGGCCGGTCTCCAGGCCCCGACACATCTCCTGGCTTCCGTCTCTTCTTGCTCAGTTCACCAGGTGTTTCTAGGCTGATGCATGGCCAGGAATAGACCCCTGGGCTGGGCGGGGTTGGAGCTTCCAAATCCTGGCCTCAGGTTGACCCGGCTTGTGGAAGGATCACCTGTGTACGGGGACACACTCAGGGGGGTCCACCGACGCCTGTAACCACCCTGCTGTAGCTCAGTGACCACCTCCAAGCAGGCGGTTCCCCTTTTGCATGGAGAACAAGTACAAGATGAGGATACCTAGAAGCCTCAGCCCCTCCACATCGCCCCCAGGGGGCCAGCTTGAGGAGCCAGGCAACTGGGGGTTCCAGAAGGGACATTGGGTGGCCTGAGGCAGACCTACTACGTGTCAGGCACATCAGCAAAGCAGCAGTTGGGGAACAAGAAGAAGGTTCTGGTGCTTTAAAACAGAACATCTAGTAAGGAGCTATTTTAACTTTAGCGCTGTAGATAGATATGGTACCATTTGGAGAAATAAAGTATGTTGGGGTTCCCAGGGTGGCGGGGGTGGGCAGCACAGGGCCTCTGCTGGGCGTGGAAAATGCCCTAAGTGGGGCCCCTCAGCATCAGCTGCAACCACACTGCCGCCATCAAGGGCCCGGCCCCGCCTTCCCTCAGTGAGGGGCAGGTCTGTGCCGCATGTGGGCGTCCTGAGTCCTCCAGCAGAAGCATTAAAGATTGATGGCATCTTCCTTTTGAAGTCGTCTGTGTGTAAGTCTACCATGAGGCTGCAGGCAAGTCCACTGTCTCTTGTCCCCATTCACTACAAGCTCCTTTAAACAGAATGTTTCTGCTCTTGGAGGCCACTGCCAGGCTGCCTGCTCCGCAGCATTTGCTGGGAGCTGCACCCCCCCCCTCCACCCCCGTCAGCATCCTCCACACGGGCCCACCCTTTCCGGGAAGGTCTGCTTCTCAGGGAGTGGGAACCAGCCTGCCAGTGAGGGAGCTGGCAGCCCCAGGATCCGATCCCTGCTCCACTGGTCTCCAGCCTTGTGGCTGCCGGCCAGTCCTCAGCCTCTTTAAGCTGTGCTTCCTGTGCCTGGGAGCTGCTGCAGAATTAGAGATAATACGCTGATCAGTTTAGCCTGTGTGGTAGGCGTGTCTGGGCTCTTTGGGATGTCCCTGCAACCAGGAAGGGTCAGTATAGTGGGGGAAAATGGGGAGGTCGAGGCCCTGAAGGGCTCGTCGAGGCTGGAGAACAGGTGTAGTGGTGGTTAGGGGGTGAAGGAACTGGGAAGACTGGAAACCGTGGTCAGAGAGAAGGACAATGGCCCTGAAGATTACAGGGAGGACTGTCAGGGTGATGACGAGATCCAGGTAGGAGATGAAGGTCAGTAGAGGCGCAAAGGCAGAACTGAGGTGGGGAGTTGGAGTGGCTAGCCCCCCAGATATTGCCGCCGCTCAGTTTGATGGTGGCAGAACTTGGGGTACAGAGGAAGGCTTTGAGCCAGTGGTGAAGTCTCCGGTGAATGTGGAGGAGCGGCCGAGAAGGAGTTGGGGAGAGGACAGTGATGAGAAAGGGCTCAGGATGGTCCTTCCAGGCCCTTCTTGAAGGCTTTTTCCCAGGAGGGTGGAGGAGTAATGGTTCGGAGGTATCAGCACCCCCACCACTCCCTCTCCTACCATTGCAAGTCCAAGGACATGAGTTCATAACCTTCTCTGACCGCAGACTTCTGTTCCTGAGGTTGCACCAGCAGTTTTGTTGGAAGCTGCAAGTTTAAAAATATCTATATCAGGTGTACCTGCCCCCGTCTTCCTCTGGATCCTAAGGTCCCTCAGATCCTCCTCCTCCCTTTCCAGCTCCACCTTCTGGGACTGCCAGTGAGGGAGCTGGCAGCCAACAGTGTTATACTGGGGACCCAGGCATGGGACCCCAGCAGCCAAGTGGGCAGCTTGCACCAGCAGGGCTGAGGAAAGGAGTGTCCCTGGGAGAGAGAATGGTTTGATCGACCTCAGCTGGCAGAGGGGGCGGCCTCCGTGAGATTTCCAGGTGCAGGGAGTTCCCAGAGGCCTAGGGGAGGTGGTAGGTGAAAAGAAGCAGCCTAGAACCAGGCAACGGTCCTGGAGAGATGACGGGGCAGACTGTATCTTCCAGAAACAGCCACAGGGATACTTCTGCTCCCACATGTTCTTCCAGAACCTTCTCGCTCCCCATCAACAGGTGGTGCCTATTTCCTCTCTCCTCGAACTCCAGTAGGCTTTCAGAGTTCTAACCCTTGAAGCGCAGCCAAAGTGACTCTGTGTGACTTCTGAGACTGCCACCTTTCTTGTTCTGGGACACACCCTTGGTTGGACCAGCCACCGTGCTATGAGGAGCCTCAGGCCACACAGAGAAGCCATGTGTGGACATGAACTGAGGCCTTTGCTGAGAGGCGGTATCAACTGCCAGATGTGTAAGCACATGAGTTTCCGGGAGATTCCAGTCCCAGGGCACTGAGATTTCCAGCCGAGGCTCCAGACACTGTGGAACAGAGATGGGCATTTCTGACCCTGCCCAGTGGAGATAAGAATCTGTGACCATATATTTAATGACTGTTCACTGCCGCTAAGTTCTGGTGTATTTGTTACACAGCCCTACTAACGGCTACAGTCAGTGATGAAGAGGCATTACATTTTGTGTGGCTGCAAATGGCTCAATGGAAGGCCTGGTGCAACAACGCAGCCCCAGTCTTCCAGGAGAAACAGGGCAGGGAGTGGGGGAGGGAGGCTGTTACCCTGGGGCCCAGGCACCCAGGTGTGTGCGCAAAGATCCTGACTGTGTGTGGAGCGGACAAGGAGCCCGGCCTCTGCCTCAGCCTCTGCAACAGAGCTGGCCAAAAGTTCACAGCGCTATGATGTTAGATCTTAACCAAGTGTATCCTGAGTGTATTTGATTCCCAATTCAGGCACCATTTACCATCTAGGGAGCGAGCAAGCTACACCCACAAGGGGGCACCGGTTTGGTAAGTGGTGATATCTCTGCAGCCTTGAATGATCATGGTTTTGAGGGACATGTGTGGATGTAGGAAGATCTTCACGGTGCAAAGGTGAGTGAAGGCAGGGGCCGGGCCCCACCCGGCACGCCCTGGGCGCACTGAGATGGGAGCCGTGCCTATGTCTCGGGTCCTGGGAGTTTGGCTGTTACTGTTTTCTTGAACTTTTCTGTATTTTCCAGGTAAAACGTAACACTTTTTATAATTAGAAAATTGTGAGTATCATTTGTTTTAAAAAGGACCTGGCTATTTATAGTTTAACTTGTGGATCCTGGCAACCCCACAAGGGTTACTGTAGCTCCAAGAAAACTTGTCAGGGGACAAAGGTCAGGGTGTAGGTCCCTCCGAGCCCCTCTCCTGTGACTGAAGAACAGGAGGCGAATTCCTTGCCCTCTTCGATCACAGACTTCTGAAACTGAGGTTGCGCGGCTGGTTTTGTCGGAAGCTGCAAGTTTCAAAATCTCTCTCTCAGGTGTACCTGCCCCATCTCCTGTTCTGGTTCTGCCCCTCTCCTGCCCCTCGTCTCCAGGGCTGGGCAGTCGGGGATGCTCTATTAGGAAGCAGTGCAGGAGTTGAAGTCAAGTGGCTGGTTCTGAGCTCTCTGCAGGGAGGCCTCCCCTCCCTGTCCCATCCTCATCTGCCCCCGCCCTGTGCCAGCCCCTCCCCAGGGCCCCAGAACAGGACCGCGTGCCCTGCAGCCCTGTTCCCAGGGCACCTGAGGGGGGGTCAGGGCTGGACTTTTACAGCTGGCATCACCGATGTGGAACCAGCAGTGCCCCAGTGGAGTTTGGGGGTTGCAGGACCTGCAAAGAAAGCTGCAGCCATGCAGCTGCCTGACCACTGAGGGCAGAAATGAATGGGCACCGGCAGGGGAGCAGCACGGGGAGGAGCCCTCTGCAGGGAAGTGGGAGAACCCTGTACTCCCTGGGTCAGCTGGACGACAGGTTTCCGCCAGACCAAGTGCTGTGTGCACGACACCCTGGGGGCCTGGCTCTTGGCGCAGCCCTCCAGGGGCTGTTCTAGAACAGTCCGCTTTGGCAAACTCCTTGAGTTCGTTGGTTAACAAACACCCCTGAAAGCTCACTTTACAGCCCGTCTCCTGGCTGGGGCATTTCCGAGTGTTTCCTTGTTGAAGTTGAGGTTTAGTCCATCTCCCAACAGCCCTGGGAGGGGAGCTGCACCTTCCTCATTGGGCTGAGGCCTCTGAGAAAGGCCGAGTGACTTGCCCAGTGCCGCCTGCAGGTGACTGGAGGATGTGACCCCATCTTTCTGGCTCTCAGTAACGTTGCTTCCCACTCATGGCTGCTACCCGGGTGGGGTGGGGTGGGGAGGGGAGGGGAGGATGCCACGGGGAGGCGAGTCCCTGTGTCAGGCGGGGCCGGGTTTCTGCACTTGCTCTCCTGCCCTTGCCCCCAGCCTGGGACGGGGGGCTGGCTTCCCATTTCCTCCTTTGACCCCCAGCTTCTGTCCCCAAAACCGTGGACTCCAAAGAGGCAGGAAATAAAACGTGTGGCAGAGAAAGGACATGCTGAAAAGAAACGAGGCTTCTCAGTATGTCCACGGTCTAGAAGCAAATACTCTGGCAAGGGTGGGGGCGCAGCACAAGTGACCTCACCCTTCCGTGCCTCAGTTTCCCTCACTGTAAAATCGGGCCAGTGCACGTTTTCCCGGCCTGACATTGCTGACCGGATCGTCCTTGGTGGGTGGGGCTGGGGGCTCTTCTGTGCACTGTAGGGTGTTTAGCAGCACCCTTGTCTCCTACTCACTAGATGCCAGTAGCACCCGCCTTCCAGGTTGTGACAGCCAAACATGTCTTCAGACATTGGCAAATGTCCCCTGGGGGGCAAAACTGCCCCCACTTGAGAACCACTGGGCCGGTGGTTCTGAGGCCCGGCTTGTTCAGCTGCCCAAATTTTGCCTGTCCCTCCTCTGGCCCGTCAGTGAGAAGGCACCTCCGCGGCACTGCCCAGAAGTCTGAACCCTGCGGTGCTGGGTGGGGGGCAGGCAACACAGAGGGAAGCTCGGGCAACTGGCCTTGACCAGCACAGAACCCACCTCCCTCCCTCTTCTTCTGGGGGGTCTACAGCATCCCCCAGACTCAGGGACACTGTTGACCTTAAGTGCCCACAAAGGCCTGAAGGGAGCCCTCCCCCTCCCCCTACATCAGGAAGAGAACATTTTAAAAATCTTTTTATTTAATTTAAAAAAAGACAGAACCACCCCAAACCAGTAGTAGGTACAGGATTCACAGGTGCTTAATCAGTGAAACACAGGGGTGGTTGGAGAGGGTGGTCAGAGACGCACAGGCCCCCGCATGGGCCCTCGGGGCAGGGCCAGCCCCGGCTCAGACACCGTGAGAAGGAGAAAGGGAGCCGGGGCGGGGTGTGTGGAGAAAGGCTGTGGAGGCCAGGGGTCCGAGGCTGCTCTGCTCCCTGCTCTTTGTTGCTTCTTTCTACTCTCTCGGTCCCTAGAGGGGGGCTCCGTCTTCTCGCCTGGGACTGGGCAAGAGGTAGGATTCGTTGGAACACAGCTTTCTCCGTGAAGCGACAGCAGCTCCTGGGGGAGTCGGGGAGGAGGGTGGGATGGGACTTATGGGGAAGAGACAGCAAGGCTGCCCTGCACTTGGAAGTGACAGAAGAGGAGTCTTGGAGCCTGGCTGGGTGAGGGGTCCCCAGATTTCACCCCCTTTCTTCTGGCTGGAATGATGGTGTCTGGCGTGGAGGGGTGAGGGCAGGACAGCGGGGCCGGCCCCACAGCTGGCTGGGCCATGCGCTCTGATGCCCCGTGTCCACTGCTGCACTTGCTTGGACAAGCCTCTGCCCAGAGCCCACCTCAGCGGAACGAGGGCTCCGAGTGAGCACGAGTCAGCCTGGCACATGGCGCCTCAGCTCACCAGCACGCAGGGCTGCCCACTGGAGGTGGGACAGATGGAGATTTCTAATCTGGGGGCCAAAGGAGGATGGCAATGACCTTGACCCGGATCTGAACTCCCAGGGGTTCCGTGAGCAAGTGGCTGAGGTAAGAATTTGCTTGTCACTTCGACGCACAACAGCTACCGGGGTCAGAGAGGACGGCTCCGGATGCCCAAGTCTCCAAAAACGAGAAAGGGTATGTTGCTAAAAGAACGTGTTTTGTATAAAAGAAGGTCAGCTCCATGTTCCATAAAGAGTTTCTTCTGAACCCGAACATGCTTCCATGTTCTCCGCTGACTTTGGGGGAGGGGAGGGGAGATAGTTGGAAAAACTTGCAGCAGGGGAAGGGCCTCCTTGGCTCCAGGTGCTGAGCCGCCCGTCTGGGGAGGAGGAAGAAAGTCACAGCGTGGCCCTGCACCCGCTTCCTTGCTGAGCCCTTTCAGGGGTGGCAGAGTCAATGACGAGAGGAGCCGGGGCACTTTTCTAAGATGAGGAAATGAACGTAACTTGCTCTCCTGGTGTTTCTTTGCAGTAAATCACGATTAATAACCACCTAGGAAATGGACATTTGTTCTCTGAGTTTTTGGTCACAGTTCACCCTTGGGTCTGCCCAGAAGTTCAGGCTCCTGTCGCCTCCCCCACAAGCAGCCCTCAGGCCAGTGGGACAGAGCATAAGCCCAGAGGGCCACCTTCCTCGGACTTGTGGAACCTTCAGACTCTCCAGTACAGTCAGTGTGTTCTGCCCTTTCTGTGGGAGGCGGAAACTTCCAGAAGCAGATGGGAAAGGCAGCAGCAGACTCCGGCTTTGACCTCATGCCCAGGACATGCCTCATCCCGCTCCGTGGATTCCTCCACAGGCCCCGGTCTCCCCGTTGGAGGGGAGCCGGCCCCGGGACAGCACAGAGCCCAAAGCACCAGGTGGCTCCAGGGTTTCCTCCTCAGCATCACTTCAACAACAGACCACTGCCAGAGAGAAAGAGAGACAGACAGACAGACAGACAGACGGACAGACAGGAAGGAAGGGGCAAGCCTTAGCTTCCACATTTCTGGCTCCCAGGCACAGAAACCTCAGGTTGGAAAGCAGCTGACCAGTGTCCCGAGGCCCCTGTGTGCCCAGCCAGTGGCCTCTCGGTGGCTCAGTGCCCAGGCAGGAAGGGAAGGCCTTGAAAGCCGGTTCTTCTGGAAATACTTGTTTCCAAGAGGAGAGAATGGCTCGATTTTGTTTTCTCGGGTTCGTGAAGGCTGGGCAGCCTCAGGAGGGCGCATGGGCCCCCCCCTGGGAGATTTCAGAACCCAGGGCATCAAAACACCCTGTCTGGGGGAAAGTCAGCCTTCCGCTTCTGATTCCAGTCTCCTGGCGCTTTGCTCCAAGCCAGCCTGTGATACAGCTAGAGACCAGGAAGGGTTGGGTTTGGTTGCAGTCCACGGCTGGTCCCCCTGGGGGGTTCGGTGCCCTCGAGTGGGGTCCAAACAGCCGTTCCGGGGAGAGGCCGGTGCCGAGAAAGGGGCGTTCACACAGGGGTCGTCCGCCGGTTCAGCATGCTGACGTGCAAGCCTTCCTTCAGGTCCTGCTGGAAGAAGTCGTGCACCTGCAGGAAGCTGGCCTCCTGGCCGGGGCTGTAGCTGGCAGCCGTCGTCACCTTGAGGGGCTCCCGGGACAGCGTGTACATGGACAGCTCGCCCATGGGGATGGCCCCCGTGATCTTGAGGCCCACCGGCGACGTGTCCCTGGAGGGCGAGGCCTCGGTGGACCTGGAGCTGGACCTGGAGCGCCGTCGCCGGTACCTGTAGCTGGGCATCCTGGCGTAGGGGGACGAAGAGGGAGCCTTAAGGAACTCCCGTTTGGTCTTAAATCTCAGCTCTTTATTCTTCTCAATGTAAATGTTCACGGCCAGGACGCCCACGGTCTCGGCCACAATGAACGACAGGGCTCCAAAGTAAAAAGACCAGCCGTAGTTGTAATGGTTTTTTTTGTCTTCATCGCGCTTGTCGCTTGGGTCGCCCGTGTTGCTGGAAATGTAGACGATGATGCCTATGATGTTACTGAGGCCTGAAGGAGGAGCGGGGGAGGGGAGAGGCAGAGGTTAGACCCACAGGGCACAGGGAGCGGAGGAGGGGCTGGCGGCCACTCCCTGCTCGGGCGGCCATGGCCTGATTCTGGTTGCTGACTTGTCTGTTAAGTCCTTCATTTTGAATGGAGGACAAAGGACAAAGTTCCAATGAGATGCACAATAAAACACAGGTTCTTAGCTACCCAGGGCTCCTCCTGAAGGTGGCTGCTGTCATTGTCTTTCTTTTTTTATTTCTACTTTCTATTTTTCTTTTAATCCTCTCTTGAGGATATGTTTATTGATTTTAGAGAGAAAGAAAGGGGGAGAGAGATGTGAGAGAGCAACATCGATTGGTTGCCTCCCATACGTGCCTCAGCCTGGGATTGAACCCGCAACCTTTCAGTGTAGGGGACCTTGCTCCAGCCAACTGAGCCACATGTCCAGGGCCATTCTCCTTATATTGTTCTTATCTCCAGTCTCATCCTCTCTCTCTCTCATGCACACAGAGACAAACTCTGCCTGCACACTCTGGCCCGTGCCCTTTCACCGCAGTCTGTCTGAGAGGCAGCTCCACGTCAGGACATACGCACTGTCTGTCTGTCTGCGCGCATGGCACCTGCCCCCTGGACACCCCGCCAGGCCTCTGCTGTGGGTGTTGAGTGACTTCCTGACCTGCTACAACCAGGGTGCTGGGGACGCCCCTTGTGCACACGGTTGCACACGCGCAGGAGCAAGCTGTGGGGTAAGTTCCTTGCAGAGGCGCTGCCGCCTCACCGGGTCTGTGCATTTGGAAGCTTAGAAACAAGCTTTATTTGGGGATCCTTTGAGATTTATTCAAAAGTTGGGAAGATAGTTCAGAGAGCTCCTGCTGAACTCCCACCCTGCTTCCCCATTAACGTCTTCCCTCACCGCGCACACGTCACAGCCAGAACTCGCACCCGGTCCACTACTGTTCACTGCTCTCCAGACCCCCGTGCTCGGCTTTCACGGGGGTCCCACGAACGTCCTTTCTCTGTTCCAGCGTCACCCAGGGTGCCCTGCGGCATGTCACGATTTGAATTCGGAGTCACTGCCCCAGTGCCCTCCGCAGGGGCACTGAAGATCTCAACAGAGTTGTCAAGAGTCCGGATTTCTGCCAACCAGGGAGGTGAAGTGTAGACACGATTGTTATGTTTATGTGGTTCCCTCTTGCTGTAAGTGCGGTGAGCAGAGCCAAGGCGCCTGGGCTTGAGTCTTGGTTCCACCAACTATCAACTGTGAGACTTGGGGCACATCGCTCACCTCCCGTGCATCTGTGTCCTTTTGTACAGATGGGAAGGCGTGGCGGGCGCTTCACAGGGCAGGTGTGAGGGCTCGACCGGCCACTACACGCCGCGCTTACAGTGAGCACTGGGTCTGTGGGGACCTATGGTGTTCTGTTCCACTGTCCATTTTCCTGCTGCCTTGAGCAAGCCAGTTGTGGGTTTTAACCCTAAATACAGGCTCTCCATCCCAACACACACACACACACACCACACAGTTCTCTCCAAGCGCCCTTGCTCGCCCTGCCCCAGGCATGCTGGGCTTCTCTGCTTCTTCTGCGCCCTGGCCAGCCCTGTGCCCCCTCACCTTGTTGCTACCTGGCTAACTCCTTCAGGTCTTGGTGTCCGTGAGTCCCTCTGGGTACCCCTCTGACCCCTCAACATAACCAGGCACCCCTCTTACAGGCTTGCGAGACCAAGTACTGCCCGTTTGTGGCACTTAGCACGCCTGGACTTCATTATTTTTGATTGAGGCTAAGTTCACGTAGAATTAACCCTGTGAAGCGTGCAGGTCAGTGGCACACAGCACATTCACACTGTCGTGCAGCCACCACTCGGGTCTCGTTTCAGAACATTTTGTCACCCAACAGGTGGCCCCGTCGAGCAGTCTGCTCCCCACACCTGGCTCACCTGCAGCCACAAAGAGGATGCCGGCACTGAGGACGATGTTGTTCTTGCGGCTGTAGAACCGCCCAGCAGCGATGCAGAGCCCGCCGAGCAGGAGCAGGATGGTGCTGAGGATGGGGAAGACGCTGGAGGCGCGCACGATGCCTGAGCCGGCGGGAGACAGAGCGGAGAGGGCGGTGAGACCGGCCGCCAGCTCCTGGCCACGGCCACGGTGCCAGCCACGGCCACGGTGCCGGTCGGGGGCCCCGAAGACCAAGGCCCCTGGACTGTAACTGTTCCTGTCAGGCCCTAGAGACCGTGAAAGTTGGGACCTGAGTGGAATGGGGGCAGCCGGACTAGATGTGAGTGGTGGCCCTGCCTTGCTCACTGGGTACGACAAATGGGCTGAAGTCACGCCCGTCCAAGTCTTGCCCAGGCTCTCCCCAGGTGTGCGTCACTCTTCTGCCAGCCAGCAGGGAGGACAGCCCCTCAGTGGCACCAGAAAGGCCACAACGACAGCTGTGAAAACTCTGGACCGCCTCCCCTCCGGACGGCACCTCCCAGCCGCTGAGCCCTCTCAGGGACTTGGTCTCCGAGAAGCCTCCGAAGGCTGGCAAGCGGCATCCTCGTGACGAAACTCTGAGGGGTGGCTGAGGACACAGGCCTGGCACTGCGTGGGCTGGGGAACAGGCTGTGCTCTGTGACACGCTGGTGCTGGCCGTGTGGCCTTGGACAAGTCACTTCGCCCCTCGAACACGGAGTTTCTCTGTTTGTGGAACTTGCTGCATAATAGTGCCTACGGCCTAAGGCTGGCTTCGTACGAATGAAGGACTTAGCACCGGGCCTGGCCATGGCACGGACTTCCGAAGTGACAGCCTTTATCTCTGCTGTCATCGTCATCATTGTCATCACCCCCCCCAGACAGACAAGAACATGAAAGCTCAGGACCTCCTGGGGTCACAGAGGAGGAGACGGCTGGACAGATACACACGTGGACTGTGGTGTCTGGCACGGAGAGATTTGCCCCCCGGCTCTGCCGGTCTCCCCTCCCTGATGCCTTGGGGAGAGCAGTGACACCCACCTGCAAGGGGCTGAATTGTGGCCCTCAAAACATGTGTCTAAGTCCCAGCCACAAGTACCTATGAACAGGACCTTATTTGGAAAGAAGGTCTTTGCTGACGTGATTATATGCAGGATCTGGAGATGACACCATCCTAGACTTGGCATCCTGAATCCAATGCCCAGTGCTCTCATAAGAGGAGGAGATCCAGCCCAGGAGAGAGGCTATGGGAGGATGGGGGCCCAGAAAGGAGGGGTGCAGCCCCAAGTCAGGGAGGGCTGGGAGACCCGGGGAAGCGGGGAGAGGCAAGGAAAGATTCTCCCCTCGAGCCTCGGAGGGGGCGTGTGCTGACTGGAGGCCCCTGGCTGCCCCCTGGGAGAGGGGGAGGTCCTGCTGTCCTGTAATTTAGCACGGCTGCTCTAGAGAAAGGATACCTGCCTGTGAGGGTTTTTGCGAGAATCTGATGAAATGAGGTTCATAAAGCACTTAGTAGGGGCTTGGGGTTGCCAGTCCCTCTTCCTTAGCATCTGGTTGGAAGGGCAGGAGGAGGGGAGCGGGACGTGAAGAGGAGCCCCGAGCTCAGCCTTCCCGATGTGCCTGTACGCCTCCCAGCCCAGTGGAAATCTCGCTCCGGGGACCCTTGGTGGCCCCGGCAGGGGACAGGGAGTCGGGAGGGCTGGCAGGCGCCCACCTCCTGAGCCATCTGAGCCAGTGTGCAGCGTCTCAGCCTCTGAAGACAGCGTTTGTCTCCTCTCCTGTAAGCCCAGCAGTGTCTGCCCCTGCCTCACAGAGAGCGGTTTGTTCAGGGCATTAAATGAAGCTCTTCTCCTGCTGCCACCTCTTCCTCCCTGTTTTTTTCTCACAGCCTCAGGCACCGGGAGGAGGTTTCCTGCGGGCTTCTGAAATGTGCCTCTGAGCTGCGCGGGCCAGAAAAGCCGGCGCCAGGGCTCCCTGGATGCCCGCATCCTGCCACGGCCCAGAGGGGTGGAGAGAAGGCAGCCTGGTGCCTCGGGTCACTGAGGTCAGGCCAGGCTCAGAGCCATCCGTCCTGCCCAGGTATTCATGTGAGCACCTGTCCTTTGCCACATGGCCTCACTCCGGAGCTCTGGATATGCGGATGCCAGCCAGGGTTGCCGTGCACAGTGGGGCAGGCTGGGATTGCACCAGGCTGGGGGACGAGTGGGGCTGATGTCCAGCCCGTATGCTGTGGCCACATCAAGCCCCGGTACTCTTCCTTCTAGTTCGCCCTCAGGCACACCCAGCAGCCCTGATACCAGCACTCTGAGGCTTAGCACTGGCATCATCCCCCTACCTGGAAATGCAGAACCGGAAAAGGGGCAACTGGCCCAGGGCGGGATGCTCGGGAGTCCGTGGGGCCAGTGGGGCAGGTAGGAACGTGATCCCCCAGCCCCACAGCTGCCTGTGGACCACAAACCAGCAGAGGCACTGCCAGAGCCCGGCAGGGAGCCGGCAGGAAGCCCTGTGACAGCGACTTAAGTCAGCGAAGCCCAGTTTCTCCGGAAACCTTCAGAGTGCATGACTGGGGGCTGACTTAGTTCTCGAACTGCCGAAGGTGGGCTGTGAGGAGCACGCCCCTGGGCCTGCCGGGGCTGGTGCCCCACGCCCAATGGCTGAGCTGCCTCTCCCTCCAGCGGGCTCTCCCACAAGCACCCACTGTGGGACCTCCCGCGACCTTCTCTGGCATCGACTCTCCACTGGAATGTCGGCACCAGGAAGGCAGAGCCCTGCTCGCCGCCGCGTCCCGAGTGCCTACAGCAGTGCCTGGCACGCGGCCGGCTCCCAAAGCTTGAACAGGTGGAGACACGGATTCCCACAGACGACGCCAGCCCCACAGCCCCCTCTCCTGTGCTTCTGCATACTTTTGGGATCAACAGTCTGGACCCAGGCCACAGGACTGAATGCTGGGGACCAGGGCGTCCTCGGAGACACAGGCTGGATTGGGTCTCTGTGGCGACCATGACCTCGGTCTGTCCCGCAACGCTGCCTACTCCCTCCAGCTCCAAGTTCACAGGCCTGCCCTCTGCAGCTCAGCGTCAGGGCCCAGTTCTCCCCGTTTCTGCTGCCAGGGTGGAAACCACTCTCCTTGTTGGAGAATCGACTTTGCCCTGCGCCCCAGCTCCTCCAGCAGCTGGAGATCACGGGCTCCAAACAGGTCACCCCTTCTCTTCCTGGGGAGTCTCCAGCCTCGTTACTGACCCTGGCTGCTCTCCCCATAGTGCACACTTGAGAATATTTCCATCCCCAGAGAGCTTTAACTGCTGTCGTGCTGTCCCCTCCCTTTATTTGGGAAAGTCACTGCTGGGCCCTCTGAGCCCTGGTGCCCTCTCTGGAGCCACTGCTGGCAGTTGTGAGGAGCCACGGCTGGATGGGGACTGCAGGGCACACTCCTGGTCTGCCCCTGGGGTCCCCCTGCCACCTCCCGCCCACCCTGCTCTGGGCCCGGGAGGCTGAGCCACAGAGAGTCGTTGGGCGCCCTGGACTCTGGCTTCAGGAGCCCAGAGCAGGTGAGGCGGCCCTTTCCTGGCTTCCTCCCTGCAGCTGCGCCTGAGGGGGCTGCACACCTTCCTAGAGGCCACAGCTCCTGCTCCATACCTGCCCCCTCCCCTGCCCAGGCCCAGGAGTGCACGGCTCCTCTGTTGCTGGCCCAGGTGCGCTCACCATCCCCTGCCAGTTTCCCAGGGCCTTGCCCATACCTGTCAACAGTCCTGCACAAACACGCTTCAGGAAGCCATGTGATCTGACCTCCAGGCTGACGAGTCATGAGGCCAATCCAGAAAGACACCCTAGAACTTTGGGGACCATGAGGGTAGGGAGAGGGGACAGGCACAGGGGAGTGAGAACCAGCGCCAATGCCTGTAACCTCAGGCAAGTTCAAGTGGGAAGTGGAGAGGGCGTGGTTTGTTTCTCGGTGCCTCCTTCCTGCAGTCCCAGGGTTGGGGGGGGCAGATCTGCACCCAGAGTCTTAAGCATCCCCTGATTGCCTGGGGTGGGGCAGAGAAGGGCAGGTTCTGAGTGGGGCTGGAATTTTAGCTGAGCCACCCCCTCAGGGGGGCTAAGCACCAGGGGTCACCCTAGATGGCTGTGCAGGCCACGCCTTGTACACCTGGAAGGGTGTCATTTATACCACAGGCTCGGCACGTGTTGTACGGTGGGCCACCTGTACGACCATCAGTGGCCGCCCTGTGAAGTGTGACTGGCTTGGTTCAGTGTTGGCCCCTGGAAAGCAGAGAGGACAGGCGGGAGGAAGAGGAGGAGGTGAGGGAGGGGGGATAGGAGGGAGAGCTGGCCAAATTATTTCAGGTTCTGGGCCTGGCCGGAGCAGCCTGATGCCGCCCCAGGCTCCACTGGGACCACACGCTGTCCTCTTTCACCAGATGACTCAGAACCCAAATCCTCTCTTAGAAAAAAAATAAAATTAAACCAAACTGACCCACAAGCAGGTGTGGAGCGAGCTATGCTCCCTCTGAGGACACTGGTATTGATTCTCCATAAAGGAGGCCAGGCCCACACCCCAGGGGATGAAAAGGGGAAACTGACTTCAACACGGTGGTGCTGCTCTGTCTGTTCCCGGCTCCTTCCCTCCTTCCTTCTAGGCAGGCCCGGGGATGAGGTCTGGCTGGATGCAGGGCATGGAGCCGGGTTAGTCCTTTGGGCTCCGTATGCGCTGTGACTTGCTCCCTTCTGGGGCCAGCCCAGCCACCGGACATGGGCAGGGCAGGGACAGACGGGGGCGGCTCTACCCGTCGGTGCTGAAAATGCTTAAGGCCCACGTGTCAGAGGCTGCTCTCGCTGCCACCCTCGCCTCCTCCCACGGGCTGCCTGGCACCCAACAGGCTTCGTGTGCAACTCAGTCTGCTTTTTCAAGAGGCGAGTGCTGGTGTGTGCGGGGAGGGGTGGGCAGGTGCAGCGCTGACGGGGGATGTGTTCGGGGTGGAGTCACAGCCCCCCAGGGATGCCGGGCCTGGGCCAGCCTCTGCCTTTAACCTCCTGAACCCGGGCTCAGCTGCAGCACCTGCTCCCCCGAAGCCAGCCACGCCCAGCAGCTCTGGGGAGTGGGGACACCCATGCCTGCGTCCACTCTCCCCAGGCCTCAGTCTCCCTGGGGAGTGGGCCTCAGCCAAGGAACTGCACTGGGACACCCAGAATGTCATGGCAACGTCGAACATAGCTCCATCCTCTGAACCAGAAAGGGAGAGACGAGAGCATCTGGAGAACGGCACCCCCTCCGCCCCCGCAGAGCCCGTCCTTTCTCCAGCGCCCACCTGCCACCCGGCTTCCCCTCCACACACAAAGGAAGCAAGGGATTCTCGACACTCACGAAGGAGATACTCCGAGCTGTCGTGGTCGTAGTCATTGTCCTCGGGGAAGTGGTTGATCCGGAAGCAGTGCCCCTTATAGATCCCTGCAGGGGACGAGAGGGAGGGGGCGCTGTGAGAGCTGCGTGGGCTCCGTTGCCACGTGGGAAGCGTGTGAGCCGGGCTCTGCGCGGGCCCTGGACACGGCGTCCCCAGTCTCGGGGGGGGTGGGGGGGACAGGCACATATACAGGGAACAACCCCATGGTGGGAAAGTGCCCCAAAGGTGACCGTGTCACTCATGGTCCCACTTTCACTTTTCACCCTTGACAGTGAAAGGGCACATCGCCTGTAACCATTTGGGGACAGAAAGAGACCTCAAGCAGGGCCGTCCTGGGCAAGCAGGGCGTGCTCTCCCCTACCCAAGGGGACTGCGGAGCCACACCTTAAAAAATGACAGAGAATTTGCCACTGGGAACTGGGAGGAGGGGGCTTTCCAGGCAGAGAAAAAAGCCATGAAAATACAGGGTGAGGGCCAGAGCTCGGCGAATTTGGGGGGAGGAGGGAAGCTCCGTGAGCCCTGAGCTTTGAAGGACATGTGTGTGTAGGGCTGAAGAGGGGGCCCTATGGGGACGGGGCGGGGGGCTATGAGTCAAGTAAATTAGGATGAACTCTGCCCCACGGTCTCTGCCTGTATCTTTCCCTCTCTCTCAAGCACAGTTACGGTGAGTCCCTCCCCAGGCGCACACTGAAACTGCACACAGTTGGCAATGTGAAGGAAGAGAACATGGAGCGAGAGAAACTTCCAGAAAGACCGAGGCATCTCCTGCCTGGTTTCCCCTCCCCACTGTGAGAAGCACCTTCACAGGGCGGGAGGCAGGACACCCTGGGCAGTTTAGTCGCTGCAGGAGGACTGGCCAGTCTCCCTTCTTGAAACTTCCATCCTGACTTCCGCCAAGATGGAGGCATAGGTGGAAGTGCCGTGCCTTCTCACACAACCAAGATTAGAGAAAACTAAATATTAGCAACAGAAAACACAGCCAGAACACAGAAAACTGAACTTTTCGGAAGTCCGTTAACAACAAATTCTTCAGCCTGACCGGTAAGGGGCGAAACCAGCGGCTGGCGGAGCAGGGTTGCACAGGAGGACTCGGCCAGACACACTCAGGCCCGCAGAATCCAGGCGCAGGGTTGGACTTAGTGAGCGACCCAGCGAGCAACCAGGCGAGCGACCGCGGGGGAGACAGCCGGTCCCGGGGCGGCGTGTTGACTGAGGTCGCGCATTTGTGCGAGGGTGGACAGGCGAGGGAGTGGGCGGTTGGACCGGGCCGGCAGGTCCCCACGGCAAGCGGCAGTGGAGGGCACCGCCATTTCCCTGCTCTGACCCCACCTCCACATACCCCAGCGACTCTGAGTGGCCGGGCCCTGGTGAACCACCTAAGGCACTGCTCCTCCGCACCCAGCTGTGAGAAGCGGCAGAAGGGGTCGCCATTTCCCCGCTCAGGCCACGCCCCCACATACAGCGTCACAACCCAGCGACCTGGGAATCCAAGGCGCCGCTTCTTAAAGGGCCCGAACAGACCAAGAATGGCGCAGGAGGATCTCAGAGCCCCAGAGCCAATAAATCTAAGCGATGAAGAAATAGCAAAACTCACAGACGCACAGTTTAAAACATTGGTGATCAGGATCCTCACAGAACTGGTTGATTATACCGACAAATTAGACAAATATATGAAGGCGAAACTAATTGAAATGAATGGAATTGCACAGGACACCAATAGCAATGAAAAGGAAACTGGGACTCAAATCAATGGAGTGGACCAGAAGAAAGCAAATAATGGCCAAACAGAAAAGAGTCAAGAAGCAAGAATTCAAAGAAATGAGGAGAGTCTTAGGAACCTCCAGGACATCTTTAAACGCTCCAACATCCGAATTATAGGGGTACCAGAAGGGAGAAAGGCACAGCCACCAGTGGAAAACTTATTTGAACAAATAATAAAGGAGAATTTCCCCAATCTGGCAAAGGAAATAAACTTCCAGGAAATCCAGGAAGCTCAGAGAGTACCAAAGAAGTTGGACCCAAGAAGGAACACACCAAGGCACATCGTAATTACATTAGCCAAGATTAAAATGAAGGAGAGAATCCTAGAAGCAGCAAGAGCTAAGGGGACAGTCACCTACAAAGGAGTCCCCATCAGACTGTCAGCTGATTTCTCAAAAGAGACCTTACAGGCAAGAAGGGGCTGGAAAGAGGTATTCCAAGTCATGAAATCTAAAGACCTACAACCAAGATTGCTCTATCCAGCAAAACTTTCATTTAAAATGGAAGGACAGATAAGGTGCTTCCCAGATAAGATCAAATTCAAGGAGTTCATCATCACCAAGCCCTTACTATATGAAATGTTAAAGGGACTTACCTAAGAAAAAGAAGATAAAAAAGATGAACAGTAAAAGGACAGCAAACTCACAGTTATTAACAACCACACCTAAAACAAAAGCAAACTAAGAGGATAGCTAGATCAGGAGCAGAACCATAGAAATGAAGATCACATGGAGGGTTAGCAACAGGGGAGTGGGAGGAGGGGAAGGGGGAGAAGGTACAGAAAATAAGTAGCACAGACAGTAGATAGAAAATAGATAGGGGGGGGGGAAAGAATAGCAGGGGAAATACAGAATCTAAAGAATTTGAGACACATGTTCATGAACTAAAGGGGGAAATGGTGGGGGAGGGGTATGCAGGGTGGAGGGGAGGGGAGGGGGGAATAGAGCAAATGTAATGGCATAATCAATAAAAAAATAATTAAAAAAAAAAAATTCAAGGAGTTCATCATCACCAAGCCCTTATTATATGAAATGTTAAAGGGACTTATCGAAGAAAAAGAAGTTAAAGAAACATGAACAGTAAAAGGACAACAAACTCACAGTTATTAACAACCACACCTAAAACGAAAGCAAACTAAAAGGACAGCTAGATCAGGAGTGGAAACATAGAAATGAAGATCTCAAGGAGGGTTAGCAACAGGGGAGTGGGAGGAGGAGAAGGTACAGAAAATAAGTAGCATAGACAGTAGATAGAAAATAGATGGGGGGCAAGAATAGCATGGGAAATATAGAATCTAAAGGACTTGAGACACATGGTCATAAACTAAAGGGGGGTGATGGTGGGGATGGGGGGTAGGGTGGAGGGGAATAAAGGGGGAATAGAACAACTGTAACAGCATAATCAATAAAAAAAATTAAAAAAAAAAAAAAAAAAAAGAAACTTCCATCCTGCTCTCCCAGCCCCCGGGGCCTCTGCAGTCTGGGAGTGCCCGGGACAGAAGTGGGCACCGGTGGAGAAGGGGGCACATGGGGTGTCAGGCCCTGCCCAGCCCTCCAAGCCCTCACCCTGGGGTCGGCCTCCTTGCTCCTCCAAGGAGCTCATCTTGACAGCCCACACTGCCAGGCTGGGGCGGTTTCCAGCTGGGCTCAATTCTTGTTCTGCAGCTGCTGCCAAGCGTCCTGCTGGCCCCCGGCAGCCCGGCCTGACCTCACACAGTGTGGAAGCAGGGCCTGCGTCAGACCAGCATCTACTAAGGAGCTCGGGGCATGCCGCTGTTCCACCGTTTACCAATTAGCCGGCTTCCCGCTGCCTCCTGGAGCTTTCCTGCTGTCTGCTGCCTCCAGAGAGCTAGGGTGCTGGCCCCCTGCCTCCTGAAGGCCACAGGGGCCACTGGTGGGTGGGCTGGGCTTGGTTAGGGACGGTGAGGAGCAGAGAAGGGTATCGGAGATGACACCTTGAGTGCCTCAAGCTTCAGCTGTGTTCTCTGTGCTGTGTCAAGCACAAACAACTTGTTAGCCGGTTCAGTCTCCTCATCTGTAGGACAGACACCACCACAGGCCTCACACCTCGGGATTTCGCATGAGAGAGTATGCAGAAGGCGCCTAGATGAGTCTCGGCCCACGGCGATGGCTCCAGGCCGGTTCGCTGCTATTGGACCCAGAAACCACCCGCCCTCTGCTCTGCAGGTCCGTACCCTCTTGTGAGTGGTCGAGTTGGTGAAGAACATGAGTGTTTGTGATCGAGAGGAGAGAGCACCAAGACAGGCTGGGGTCGGGATGGCTGGGAGGTGGGGGCACACGAAGGCCTGAGTGGGCCAGTCACACCCTCCCCTTCCTCCTGGCTTCCTGGCTTGTTCAGATTCAGAACAAGCATTTTCCAGCCGTGGTGGGCTTGGTGGAGCACCCGCTCTTCATCACCCACCCCCAAATTTTTGGTCTACTCTATGAGTCTAAACACGGTCACCAGGTCACACATACTTGTTGGAACCAGCCAAACAGTGAGAGGTTGAAAAAGAAAACAGAAATAATCTCTCTCTATAGACTTATGTCCAGAGATCAACAATCGGCCGTGCGTCTTCCTGGGAGTGCAGCTTACACACGTACACGCGTACGTGAGGTCAAACCCTATGCTTCTAAAAAACCAAACCTTTTACATGGAGATAATTGTAGATTTACCCATGGCTGTAAGAAACCATACGGAGGGACACCATGTATCATACCCCCAGCCCCCCGCATGGTAACATCTTACAAAACTACAGTATTGCGACCAGACACCGACATGGCTTCAGTGAAGATACACAACGTCCCACCCCCACCAGGACCCCTCACGTCGCCCCCCCTTTTGTACGCACACAGCTCCTCCTGCCCCCGGCCCCTGTCCTCACCCATGGCAACCACGAAGGTAGTCTCCATCTGCGTAGTTCTGTCCTTTCCAGAATGTTCTCAAAGGGAGTCACGCAGTACGTAGCCCGTGGGGATGTGCTCTTTTCCCTCAGCGAGCCTCCCTCCAGACTTACCCAAGTTGTTTACGTAGCAAGAGTGCGTTTCTTTTTCTTTTCTTCTTATTGTCCCCTCGTGCCTTTAGGAGCCAGTCCTATAGTCAGGACGGCCCCCCTAAACTGAGAGGGGGATCGCTGTGTCCTGCGGACTCCCCCGTTACAACTGAGTACAGGGGAGCAAAGAAAACACGGGCCTGGATGAGCACGTGTTCCTTTTAACCGCACGCAGCGTACTGCTCCGCCGCAGCGTGGGCGCCTGCGTGTTTCCAGCGATCACGCCCACAGTCCTCAGCTGTTCCTAATGATGCTGCTGTAAACCTTCGTGCACAGGTTTTGGGCGGGGCCTGTTTTCTGTCTCCGGCATAAACGCCCAGGGGGGGCAAATGCAGGCTCACACCAGAGCTTCGTGTTTGGTTTTTTTAAAAAATATTTTATTTATTTTTTAGAGAGGGGGAAGGGATGGAGAAAGAGTGGAAGAGAAACATCAATGTGTGGTTGCCTCTCATGTGTCCTCTACTGGGGACCTGGCCTGCAACCCAGGCCTGTGCCCTGACTGGGAATGGAACTGGTAACTCTTTGCTTCACAGGCCCGAGCTCAATCCACTGAGCTACACCAGCCAGGGCTTGTGTTTGGTTTTACGAGGGACTGACAGACTGGTCTCGAGAATGGCTATATGCTTATTTTAAAGTGGAATTACACTCTGTAACCTGATTTTTTTCAGTTAACAATATGTACACACATCTCTCCAGGTCAATATCTATAGATCTTACTTCTAAGAAAACCTGTTTATTTTAAATAAAAACCAATATGTTGATCCTAATCCGAACATTGCTGAAAATACTAGAAGGAAATGAAGAGTGTAGGGACCAGGGAATGGGTCTTGCTCCATCACTGATAATGCTGAAAGAAAAACATGCTTTGGCAGAAATGCGGAAACCTTATATTTATACTTTCAATCTGAAAATAAAACTCAGGTTTTGAAACATTAGCTTGCGTATAAACGCATTTGTTCCTAATGTTTCTCCAATCGATTTGGCTAACCTCCATCCTACATCAAGAATGCTATTTTACATCTGACAGAAATTGTAAGTAGAAATCACTGTCTAACATTAACTCATCTTTAGTATTCATTTTAGGGGTTCATAACCATCCATCTTTATGCTTTATCAACTTAACTATACCATAGCAATAGACATTCCTCTCTCTTGGGGCTGTGTGAACACACTGTAGATTCCTCTGCGTGGAATTATGCTCCAAGATACACGAACGCATGCCCTTTCTCCTTTCCCTCCTCCCGTACCACGCTCTTCTGCACAGACAAAAAGGGCACCGTGGTGGGTTGAACGGTGCTCCCCCGACAAGATATATTGAAGTCCTTACCCCCTGGTATCTGTGAATGTGGTCTTATTTAGAAACAGGGTCTTGAAGATGGAATCCAGTTAAGATGAAGTCACACTGGGGTGGGATCTAAATCCAGTACCTGGTGCCCTGACCAGTGTGGCTCAGTGAGCTGGGCATCACCCCAAAGACCTATAGGTCTCAGCTTCGATTCCCTGTCAGGGCATGTGCCTGGGTTGCAGGTCAGGTCCCCGGTTGGGGAGAGACAGTCAATTGATGTTTCTTTTGCTGCACATCATGTTTCTCTCTCAACCTTTTTTTCCTCCCATCCCCTCTCTCTGGAAATAAATATAATCTTAAAAAATAAATTCAATGATTGGTGGCCTCAGAAGAAAGAAATGCGGACACAGACACACACGGGAGAAGGCATGTGAAGACAGAGATAGAGGTTGGACTGATGTGTCTACAGGCCACGGGACGCGCAGGTGTGTCTGCAAGCACCAGAAGCTGGGGAGAGGCAAGGAAGGCTCCTGCGCAGAGACTCAGAGAGGGCGTGGCCCCGCTGACACCTTGGTTTTGGACGTCTGGCCTCCAGCACTGGGAGACAATCAGTTTCTGTTGCTCTAGACCACCTGGTTTGTAATCATTTGTCACGGCTGCTCTAGGAAGCTAATACAGGCGCGTTGCTGTGTGACAGGAAGTGCGGTCTCCTGGCTCACTCATCACTGGAGCTCAGCCTTGCAGGAAGGTGGAAGTGCCCCCACTGCCGGATGGGATAGGCTCTCCTGCTCCTCTGTCTGCTACAGGAACCCACGGCTGATGCCTAAGCAGCGCATTTACTGGGTATCTGCAAAAGCATCTTCTCATTGAGCGTGCGGCAAGGAAACCTCTCCAACCTCTCAGGGCCAGGCTGCCAAAGCACCTTCACCAGTCGTCTGGTATAGGTCCCCCTTCTCGGGGTCCTGAATCCTCTCCCCAGGGACCTCCTATTTGGGGACTGCCAGCCATGGGGACCTCATCACCCCCAAAGCATCCCATTCTCAAACAGCTTTAAGTTCCTGAAAGGTCACCTGCCTCCACAAAATTTCACCCACAGCTGCTATTTATAATCCATAGCAGTAGAGGTTCCCCCCGATCACATGTCAACCCTTCAAATCATGGAAGAAGGGAATTATGTCTCACAGGACTGAAGTGCGGTGGCTTTTCCAGCTGTCCAGGGTTTGCAGGGAGGCTCAGGGCTGAGGACACCAGGTGGCCTACAAGCTGCCTCCCCTGGCCAGACCTTGCTGACCGTCCAGAGCACAGGTGGCAAGCACAAGGCCCGTGGGCCGAATCCGGCCCTTCATCTTGTCCTATCCGTCAGCAGTGCAGAGCTCTTTGCCCCTAGTTAAGGAGTGGTTACATTTACACAGTCCTAAAATTACATTTGGCCCTTTGAAGGTAACCGCTGATGTGATCCCGGTGAAAATGAGTTGGACACCCCTGGTCTAGAAGAGCCTGCTTTCAACCCCACCCACCGTCTAAAGAGCTGGGGGCAGCGGAGGAGGGGCAGGCAGTGAGAGAAGGAGCTGTCCCCCCAAGTCAAGAATTGGGGTATTTCTTCTAAATGAGTGTCAAACTTCTTCAGTTCCTCCAGCCATTTTTTTACTGGTTGATTCGAAGATCTTTTTCTCCAGCCTCGCTCCCTCCTCCGGGTCAGCTCCCAACTCTCAGTGCCCAGAAGAACAAGCCCCCAGACCCCCACCCCACCAGCAAACCCACCGTTCCTGGCTGGATCTGACCCACCCAGAGCACGGTGGCCCTGCCCACCGCCCTTTCTCTGGACCTGGCGTTCCTGTGGACTCAGCCTCCCAGGGCTTTGTCACAAGGGTCGCCACATCTCCCAGAACTCGTTTTTGTTGAGTGCAGTGTTTAGTCCTAAAGACCTCACACTTATCGCTGTCAAATTGAATTTGGTTAGCGGTGGCCTAAGGCTCTGACAAGGGAGAACATGAAGGCTGATGAAAGGAATAAGAGAGAAAGCCATTTCCGATCCACTTCGCACGGGACCTCTCTCTCTCGGTGAACGGCCACGGTGCTGCTGCAAAGTGCCGTTTAGAGGGGTTAGTTCTGAGGCCCAGCACTGGCCACACTGCGGGGACTCTGAGGCGCTCCCGGGGGTCGCCGGCCTGTGTTCCCAGAGACAGGTGGCCCTCTCCCTCCCGAGGGTCGGGAAGGCACTGGTGTGAGGATACTTCATGAGTCACCAGGAGAGTTACTTCTTTAACCCATCATTCCCAGCCTCCTGGTTAACACCAGGAGCGGTGGAGGCAGAAGTGGCCCAGCTGCCTGCACGGCCGCCCAGACCGGAGGAGGGCACAAGGGGGAGAAGCACAGCGGGCCACACAGTCCACTGGCTTCACTGGGGTCATCCCTGTGTTGGAAAATAACCAAACAACACTTATTCTTCTAAGTGGCTATCGGTTTGAACTTCCTAATAATTTGAAGTGGTTGTCTCCCGCTGTGAATCAGGTCCTTGTCTTCTGGTCACAGCCCGGGTGCAAGGACCAAACGGATCAAACCCTCGTCTGGGAGTGGGCCATGGGGGAGGAGGTCCCCGTCCTGGGGCCGATCACTTGTGAGGGTGGCCGCCCCTCCGGTGTTTCCCCGGATCGGCTTGTCTGTGAGCCTGGCCCCTCCCCTGGCCCTAACCTCCTGCGGGCACAGCCTAGCGGGGCTGCAGGGCTGCGTGTTTCCAGGAAGGACCCAGCAATTCATGGAGAAGGTGGAGAACTGAGGGGTGGCAGGGTCTTGGACTTGAGGGGAGACGATATCCTCAGAGTAAGAACAATGGCAGGAATTTGTGCAGCACCCAGTATGTGCCAGGCACAAGTTTAAGCCCCTGATGTTTGTTAACTCCCTTCATCGTCATACTAACCCTGGGAGGTAGAGAGGGTTACTAACACCACTTGCTACTAAGTGCCCTAGCTGATTCGAACTCAGACCGCCCGAATTCTGAGTGCGTGCCCTTATCTCCCATGCCCTGGAGGCAGAAGGACTCAGTGAGCTCTCAGTCATTCTGATTGCTGGGAGCTTAATGGGGAAGTGTAGGAAAAACTCCTGGGCTAAGGACACCGGCTGATGTTTGGGGCTGAATTAACCTTTCACTGGAAGATGGAGATGCTCAGGCAGACGGATGTCAGTCCAGGACCCCCCACCCGTCAGGACAGAGGGTCAGGAGCTGTGAGGTGCCGGTGTGTATGGACGGGGTGCCCCGATGGTTCATGCGAGCAAAGGACCCACGGGGGCCAAGGCATGCAGGGAGGTTAGCCTTGCAGTCCCGAACCTCAGACGGCCTGGCGTAGGCAGGAAGCAGCAATGGTGTGCAGTGCTGGGCTGGGGTGGGTGTCTTGCATGGTAGGTTTGGTTGGAACTTTACAGTACAGTCCCTGTGGGGCTGATTGAAGTTGCAGAGTCCTGGGTGGGCGGCCACTCCTGAAGGGGGCAGCAAGGTGTGAAAAGAAGAAAGGCCACACAGGGCGGTTTGGGGAGACCCCAGTTCTTATCCTTCGATGTGTCTGCAGATGAGGGACCAGAGGCCAGATGGAAGTGACTCAGTCTCCATCATCCCAGCACAGAGACGATGGGGGTGTTCATTTGTAGAGCTGCCATAACCACAAACCAGGTGGCTTAACCAACAGAAGTACGTTGTCTCACAGGTCTGGAAGCCAGAAGTCCGAGATCGAGGTGTGGGTGGAGTTGGTTCCTTCCCAGGGCTCTGAGGAAGAACTCGTTCCAAGCTTCTGCCCAGCTTCTGGGGGTCTGATGGCAGTCACGGGCATGCAGTGGCTTGTGGAAGCGCCACATTGACCTTGGCCCTCACC